TGCATGTGACTGACGTGACCGAGTCTGCAGACGTCATGGAGAGCGATATGCGGCATGCAATATCGTTCAGCATGACTCATTCGGTGGAGGCTCGGTTATGGTTCTGGGGAGGCATATCTCTGGAGGGTCGCACAGACCTTCATGTGCTTAATCAAGGTACGCTGTTAGGTATGGAGATGAAATCCTCAGACCATTTGTTCAACCCTACGCCGGAGCAGTGGGCTCCGGATTTCTTCTGGTACAGGACAGTGCCCGACCTCATGTGGCCAGAGTGTGCCGCCAGTTTCTGGAGGAAAAGGACATCAGTGCTGTGGACTGGCCCTCACGGTCTTCGGACCTGAACCCCATTGAGCACCCCTGGGACATTATGTATCGGCGTAATCCCCCAGGACACCATCCGCCGCCTCATCAGGAGCATGCCACGACGTTGCCGAAAGTGCATACAGGCTCGTGGAGGGCATATCCACTACTAAAGTGGCTATGCAGTGTGCTGTGCTGCAAATTCATAATTTCTTCCATAATCATTTCTCTCAACAATCACTTTGTTTTTCAACGTCATTTCGTAATTCGGTCGTCCAAGGGTTAACTTTTGTTCTTGTTCAGAGTACGTTGGGAATTTAGCTTCAGTACAAAATTGTAACATTTGTACATTCGACATTGAGTTTTGAAATAAAATACAAGTATTTCCATAATTGTTTTGGACATTGTATATTTTTTATATGTATACATATATATATATTTTTTATCATATATGTGTATACATTTGTAAACATACTGTATATATGTGCATACATTTCTTAACATATATGTGTATATATATGCATACATATATATATAATAATTATATGTATGCATATATGTATATGAAAACTTCTATATATTCATATATTCATACACACAAAACATATATATGTATATATATGCATATATATACATATATATATATATTTATATATATATTGTGTATGCATATATTTATGTGTATAAAGCATATTTGCCATTACCATATTGTGGCTATATATATGCATATATATATTTATATATATTCATATATATGTATTTATATATAGATGTGTATGTATATATATGTATGAATATTTGAAATATATTTGTGCGTATGTACATGTATGCATATATATGTATATATGTATGTATGTATGTATGCATATATGTGTATGTAAGCATATGTATATAAATATATGTGTGCGTATACAAATATACATATATGTCTATATGAATACCTACATATGTTTTTACCTATTATATATGAATGTTCATATATGTTCAAACATATATATATATATGGATACACATAAATATGCATATATATAAATGCACACATACATGCATGTAGGCATATGCATATGTGTATGCATATATGCACGCATATATGTCTATATACATACATGAATACATATCGACACATATACGTATGGAAATACAAATGTGTGCATATATGGCTATTTATATGTACATATATATTATATATATATATATATATATATATATATATATATTATAAAAACCTTTACATTTACCTATACATAGTCATCAATAAAGCTCTATTGGGGCGACATGTCTTAGACTAAGCTTAAGATCATACTTTATAGGATCAATTCTATAGTGAGATTGCCGGGTTTCTCGCCGAGATTCTCGGAATATATTCAACCACGATGAGGACTTTTAGTGTGAACCTCTGAGCGGGAAGCGGTTCTTACGTATTTCGTAAGAGCATTGATGACCGTTCTGACTCGGTCTACCGTGTCCAGAGGAGGCTCACGCAGACTGAGTGGTTGAATATTAATCCACTAGAATTGTTACTTTTGAAATCTCCATCAGAGGAGAGACAAAAGATGATAAAATTAAGCGGGAACCACTTTGCCTGTTTATATAATTTGAAGACTTCAGGAAAAAAAAATCATTGGTGAAACAAAATTGATATCGGCAGTAAGAGTTACCTGTCCTGTTATATTTAAATATATATATACAAATTTTAAAAATATACATTGTATATATGTATTTACACATTTACAGCGACGATATTTGATAGCAATGAAAGGTACCGGGTTAACGTCGAAATATATAAGCAAATAAGCCAGTATTACGAAATAACTGAATCATGCCCTTACTAGATTGTTCCTCTTGCACCCATCCATTTGTGTATGTGCAATGCAACATTATATATGTATATAACATTTGATAATAAATATGTATACATATATATATTCTTTGTCATATATATGTATACATCTGTCAACATACATATATTCATACATTTGTAAACATAATAAATGTATTTATATACGTTATATGTACACACATACATTTATATATGTATATATATACATGTACATATATATGCATATTTATTTTTATATTTTATGTTTATATATGCATATGTATGTATACTTTGTGTTTATGTATGTATGTATTTATATGAAATAGGGTTAGGTTTATATAAAGGAGGGTGGCATAGCTCAGTGGTAGAGCGCTGGCTTTGCAATCGCAAGGTCATGGGTTCGCGCCCGGCCGCCGCCCCTCTCAGTCGATTCAGTTGTGAATGAGTACTGATATGCTGACGTTAGCAGGTTGGGGCGGAAAGGAACTGGCCACCCTACCGCATCATCCCGCGGCTTAGCAAGCATGTTTCTCTGCGAACATGTCCCCTACGTTCACATGGGCATGGGACCAAGTTTGACTTTTGATATAAAGTATGTGCCTTCACCGATGCGGTTCTTGGCACCATGTTGTAGTTGACTGAGTCATTATACTGGGTGGCTATATGTATATATATATATGTACGAATATTTCGTGTATATATAAATATATTCATATATTTATATGTGTATGAATATAAATATTTGTATGTATGTATGTATTCATAGTTATGTGTATATATATGTATGTGTATGAATATAAATATTTGCATGTATGTATGCATTCATAGTTATGTGTATATATATGTATCTGTATGAATATAAATATTTGTATGTATGTATGCATACATAGGTATGTGTGTATATATGTTTATATGTATATGTATATGTGGATAAATATATGTATGCAAATATATACATAAGCATATATGTGTTTATACATAAATATATTGATAATACATACATATATGATTACATGCACATGTATTTACATACTATATATAAATGTTTATATATGTAAATATTTAAACGAACATACCCACACACATATATGTGTGAAAATATATATGTATTTATATATGTATGGCTATTTATATACATATATGTATTATATAAATATTTATATTTACATATATATAGTCATCAGTGAAACTCTATTGGGACGACAAACCTTAGGCTATAGTTAAGATCATACTTTATAGGATCAATTCTATAGTGAGATTGCCGGGTTTCTCGCCGAGATTCTCGGAATATATTCAACCACGATGAGGACTTTCAGTGTGAGCCTCTGAGCGGGAAGCGGTTCTTACGTTCTTCGTAAGAGCATTGATGACCGTTCTGACTCGGATTACATGCACATGTATTTACATACTATATATAAATGTTTATATATGTAAATATTTAAACGAACATACCCACACACATATATGTGTGAAAATATATATGTATTTATATATGTATGGCTATTTATATACATATATGTATTATATAAATATTTATATTTACATATATATAGTCATCAGTGAAACTCTATTGGGACGACAAACCTTAGGCTATAGTTAAGATCATACTTTATAGGATCAATTCTATAGTGAGATTGCCGGGTTTCTCGCCGAGATTCTCGGAATATATTCAACCACGATGAGGACTTTCAGTGTGAGCCTCTGAGCGGGAAGCGGTTCTTACGTTCTTCGTAAGAGCATTGATGACCGTTCTGACTCGGTCTACCGTGTCCAGAGGAGGCTCACGCAGACTGAGTGGTTGAATATTAATCCACTAGAATTGTTACTTTTGAAATCTCCATTACAGGAGAGACAAAATATGATAAAATTAAACGAGATCCACCTCACCTGTATATACTGTTTGAAGATTTCAAGGAAAAGAGTCATTGCTGAAACTAGCAGAATTGATATCGGCAGTAAATGTTACCAGTTCAGTTATATATATAAAGAAATATATATACATTATATATAAATTTGTATATTTACAGCGACGATAGCAAGGAAAGTTACCGGATTAATATTGAAAAATTAAGCAAATACGCCAGTTTTACCAAATAACTTAATCATGCCCTTACTAGCCATTCCTAACTATAGTAGATACGGTGTAGATATATAATACATGATTTATGAAGTACATGTAATATATATGAATTACAATATATGTATATATTTTGTATATACAATATGAAATATATATATATCTACATGTACGTGTATATACATTTAAATATGTACATATATATTACAATATAGATATATATAGTTTTCGTTTGATATCCTTCGTGTAGTAGGATTAATATATTCATCACACACACTACACGCTTTCGCTTACGCATGCCATTAGGTATATAATAATTTGAAATAATTATCTGTTTTCTTTATATATGTACGTATGTTAATTGTATTCTTTCTCGAAATTCAGTTCAGGTTTCAAATGGCGCAAAAGAGAAAATGTGCCGCGCAGATTTGGATTCACGGCGACATCGGGCTTGAGGGCCAACCTCGATGCCTCAATGTCGCCGCATGAATTCATCAAAGTTTTTTCACAGAAGAGATGCTAAACATAATCGTGGAAGAAACTAATAAGTAAGTTCACATCCCCTTCATTTCGAATAAAAAAAGATGCAAAAATTCAACCTGTTCTGAATAAATAGTCATACTATAACTACATTGAATGTGTTATCGTCCATTACAGGTACGCCGAATTGCATCCAGGTCTGGTAAAGGGCCATGAAAGGAAATGGATGCCGCTGACTCTCGCAGAGCTGCAGATTTGGCAGTCATTGATAATACATATATATTATTATGTATAATAATATATCGCCAGTCATTGCGACTGGCGATGGGCATATCACCAAAGCCTCGTCAGTCGCAATATTGGTCAAAGAATGATCTGCACGAGGCACCATTCTTCCCGAAGCATATGCCTCGAGATCGGTTTGACCAGATCTCCACCTGCCTACATCTGTCCGATAACGATTTTCAGGATGGCTCAAACAGGCTATGGAAGCTCGGCCGTATAGTCGAGCTTTTGCAAAACAATTGTAAGGAGGCATACATACCACCACAGTGGATAACCGTAGATGAAAGCCTGTGGAAATTTCGGGGCCGTTTGGGTTTTGTAACATACAACCCAACGAAGAGAGCAAGGTTTGGGCTAAAGATATATAAGCTCTCTGTATCCTCTGGCCCAACATGCGGGTACACCTGTGCCTTCAAATTTTATACAGTCCAGGACCGAGGGGTTTTACCAGCTTCTCATAAAGCCGTCGCCGACCTAATGGAGTCGGCAGAAGTTCTAAATAAAGGATACACTCTATTTGTTGATAACTGGTACTCGTCACCAACTCTTTTCCACTGGCTTCAGGGGAGAAAGACCAATGCCTGTGGAACCGTAAGACCAAACAGGAAATGGATGCCAAAGAACTTCGAGAAGTTGAAGATGAACGAGGTGGCGGTTAGAAGTACCCCAACGGGCATGATGTGCCTAAAGTGGATTGACAAAAAGCCCATCCATCTGCTATCCACTGTGCATACATCCGAACTGGTAGAAACCGAGAGGGTAAACAGGCATGGCCAACAGGTTATGAAACCACAAGCCATCATTGACTATAATGATGGCATGAAAGGTTTCGATGTTGGCGACCAGTTGGCAGCCTCCTATCCAGCTGTTAGGAGAAGCATAAAGTAGTACAAGAAAGTTCTAATGTACCTCTTCGAACTAGCAATGATCAACGCCTTTGCCCTCTACAAGGAGGTAGGAGGCCATACGACAAACCAGCTGACTTTTAGAGAGCATGTGGTAATGGGCCTTCTAGAGGAGTATCTGCCGCAGGCTCCTCGATATAGCGGAAGGGGACGGCCAGCAGTGACAAACTCTTCAATCCGATTACAAGGAAGAAACCCCCATGTCATCCGAGAAATTGAAGGGAAGAAGTACAAGAGGTGCCACGTGTGTTACACACATGGAAAAAGAAAGATGACAAAGGCAGAGTGCCTAGTGTGTAAGGTGCCATTGTGCGTCTTCAATTGCTTTGAAAATTACCACAATAAGGTGAACTATTGAAAATATTGATGGTGAATTGTATATTGTGTAAATAGTTGTTGTTTACATGCAAATACATGTATATGCTTCACTCCCTTTTTTATTCCCCTACATGTAATTCCAAGAAAAAGAAACTCACAAAAGGATAGAATATTCTATGACATTGATAAAATGAAACAATTACCGACTGTCAAACCATTTTTATCGTTTCTGGAAAAAAGGAAAAAAAATCCGAATCCACTTTTTCTTTGATGTCGAACAATGTTACGTAGATTCATAGGAATAATCCTATTACATTACCAAACAGCTTATGTCCTCAAGAGACTTCCTAGACGAGTCTATAATATTGGAAAAAAAGTTATTTTCAAGGCACTCGAGTTTTCCAACAAAAGGCGAAACCGATGTCAAACTGCCTCAAGCGCGGCCTCCCACATCGCCCGAGTGTTTTCTATTACATTATCGAACTGTTTACGTCTTCTATAGAATGCATGTGATATATATGATAAAGAATATGTTGATATATATTTTTTTCATATTTATTCATCTGGAAGCATACCATATATATATGCATACATTTCTAAACATATATGATATATGTATATATATGAAAATTTCTATATATTCATATGTTTATATATATAAATTTACATATTGTGTGTAAGCATATATTTATGTATATAGAGCAGATTTACCATCACCGATGCGGTGTTTGACAAACTACTTGGCACCATGTTGACATCACGTTTATACTGTGCTGACTATATGTATATATTCATATATATATATATATTTATATGAATACCTACATTTATATTTACCTACTATGTATGAATGTTTGTATATATACATATATGTATGCATATATATATGAAAATTTTTATATATTCATATGTTTATATATATAAATTTACATATTGTGTGTAAGCATATATTTATGTATATAGAGCAGATTTACCATCACCGATGCGGTGTTTGACAAACTACTTGGCACCATGTTGACATCACGTTTATACTGTGCTGACTATATGTATATATTCATATATATATATATATATATATATATATATTTATATGCAGATGTATATATATATTTATATGCAGATGTGTATATATATTTATATGTAGATATGTATATATATTTATGCATATTTGTGCATATGTATGTGTATGCATATATAAATGTGTGTGGATGCATATGTGTATTAATATATGTATGCAGATATATACATAATCATATATATGTATGTGTGCGTATACAAATATATAAATATATTTATATGAATACCTACATTTATATTTACCTACTATGTATGAATGTTTGTATATATACATATATGTATGCATATATATATGAAAATTTCTATATATTCATATGTTTATATATATAAATTTACATATTGTGTGTAAGCATATATTTATGTATATAGAGCAGATTTACCATCACCGATGCGGTGTTTGACAAACTACTTGGCACCATGTTGACATCACGTTTATACTGTGCTGACTATATGTATATATTCATATATATATATATATATATATATATATATATAATATATATATATATATATATATATTTATATGTAGATATGTATATATATGAAAATTTTTATATATTCATATGTTTATATATATAAATTTACATATTGTGTGTAAGCATATATTTATGTATATAGAGCAGATTTACCATCACCGATGCGGTGTTTGACAAACTACTTGGCACCATGTTGACATCACGTTTATACTGTGCTGACTATATGTATATATTCATATATATATATATATTTATATGCAGATGTGTATATATATTTATGCATATTTGTGCATATGTATGTGTATGCATATATAAATGTGTGTGGATGCATATGTGTATTAATATATGTATGCAGATATATACATAATCATATATATGTATGTGTGCGTATACAAATATATAAATATATTTATATGAATACCTACATTTATATTTACCTACTATGTATGAATGTTTGTATATATACATATATGTATGCATATATATATGAAAATTTTTATATATTCATATGTTTATATATATAAATTTACATATTGTTGTGTAAGCATATATTTATGTATATAGAGCAGATTTACCATCACCGGATGCGGTGTTTGACAAACTACTTGGCACCATGTTGACATCACGTTTATACTGTGCTGACTATATGTATATATGCAGATGTATATATATATTTATATGCAGATGTGTATATATATTTATATGTAGATATGTATATATATTTATGCATATTTGTGCATATGTATGTGTATGCATATATAAATGTGTGTGGATGCATATGTGTATTAATATATGTATGCAGATATATACATAATCATATATATGTATGTGTGCGTATACAAATATATAAATATATTTATATGAATACCTACATTTATATTTACCTACTATGTATGAATGTTTGTATATATACATATATGTATGCATATATATATGAAAATATATATGGATACACACACATATATATGCATATATATATGAAAATTTTTATATATTCATATGTTTATATATATAAATTTACATATTGTGTGTAAGCATATATTTATGTATATAGAGCAGATTTACCATCACCGATGCGGTGTTTGACAAACTACTTGGCACCATGTTGACATCACGTTTATACTGTGCTGACTATATGTATATATTCATATATATATATATATATATATATATATATATATATATATATATATATTATATATATATATATATATATATATAATATATATATATATATATATATATATATATATATATAATATATATATATATATAATATATATATATATATATAATATATATATATATATATATATATATATAATATATATATATATATATATATATATATATAATATATATATAATATTTATGCAGATGTATATATATATTTATTGCAGAGGTTATATATATTTATATGTAGATATGTATATATATTTATGCATATTGTGCATATGTATGTGTATGGCATATATAAATGTGTGTGGATGCATATGTGTATTAATATATGTATGCAGATATAACATAATCTATATATGTATGTGTGCGTATACAAATATATAAATATATTTATATGAATACCTACATTTATATTTACCTACTATGTATGAATGTTTGTATATATACATATATGTATGCATATATATATGAAAATATATATGGATACACACACATATATATGCATATATATAAATGCACACATACATACATTCATATATATAAATGCACACATACATACATTCATATATGTATATACATATATGTGTATATATACACACATCTATATACATATATATGTATATATTGTGTGTATTGTATTTATATGTATGTACGCATACATGTATATATACATATATGAACACATGGATATATATATGTATGGAAATAGGTATGTATATGTATATATGGCTATTTATATGTACATACATATCATATGAACATTTACATTTACCTATACATAGTCAGCAGTAAAACTATGTTGGAACGACAAACCTTAGGCTATAGTTAAGATCATACTTTATAGGATCAATTCTATAGTGAGATTGCCGGGTTTCTCGCCGAGATTCTCGGAATATATTCAACCACGATGAGGACTTTTAGTGTAAGCCTCTGAGCGGGAAGCGGTTCTTACGTATTTCGTAAGAGCATTGATGACCGTTCTGGCTCGGTCTACCGTGTCCAGAGGAGGCTCACGCAGACTGAGTGGTTGAATATTAATCCACTAGAATTGTCACTTTTGAAATCTCCACCACAGGAGAGACAAAATATGGTAAAATTAAGCGGGAACCACCTTGATACTGGCAGTAAGAGTTACCTGTCCAGTTATGTTAAAAAAAGAGAAATATATTTAAAAAAAATATACATGATATATGTATATATATTTGCCGCGACGATATTAGATAGCAAGGAAAGTTACCGGGTTAACGTCGAAAATAAAAGCCAATAAGCCAGTATTACAAAATAACTTGCACCCATCCATGTATATGTGTGTAATGCATCATTATATACGCATATGTATATGTATGATATAACATTTGAATATGTATATACATATACATATATTCTTTGTCATATATATGTATACATCTGTAAACATGCATATATTCATATATTCATACATTTATAAATATTTTAATAAATATATGTATATACATTATATGTACGCATGCACGTTTATATGTATATATATACATGTATGTATGCATACATAGTTATGTATATATATGTTAATATGTATATGTGGATAAATATATGTATGCAAATATTTACATAAGCATATATATATAAGCACATATATGCATATATATATATATATAATATATATGACTACATACACATGTATTTACATACTATATATAAATGTTCATAATGTAAATATATATACACATATATGTGTGAATTTATATATATGGATATGTATATGCTTATATATATATTTATATGCACACATGTATATATATTTAATCGAACACACCCACACATATATGTGTGAAAATATATATGTATTTATATATATGGCTATTTATATACATATATGTATTATATAAACATTTATATTTACATATACATAGTCATCAGTGAAACTCTATTGGGACGACAAACCTTAGGCTGT